GAGTAATCAAATACCCCAAAAACTTTCCTGAGCTCACTCCAAAGGCGCATTTTGAGGGTTTTAATTTTAGGCCATACTTTCAGAGGATGGCGAATGTCGTCCCGAGATCAGAGTGATGGTCGGCCTCCTCTTTGCTTTTGACTAACATGTCATCAATGTACACCTCCATTGTTTCGCCGACCTGGTCTTTGAAAATTTTGTTCATCAAACATTGGTAGGTCGCCCCTAGCATTCTTCAACCCAAAAGGCATCACCGTATAACAGTAGATTTCCCGGCGCGTGATGAACGTCGTTTCCTCCTGATCTGATTCATGCAGAGGAATCTGGTGATATCCAGCCCGAGCATCCATAAAGGTAATGCGTCTGTGGCCAGCTGTGGCATCTACCAACTAATTAACTTTGGGCAAGGGGTACTCGTCCTTGGCACAAGCCTTGTTCAAGTCCGTGAAATTCACGCAAACTCGTCATTTTCCTTCCTTTTTCTTGGCGCACACGGTATTGGATAGCCACTAGGGGAACTGTACCTCCTTGATGGAACCTGCCTGCAACAATTTATCCACCTCTTCGTCCACAGCCTTCGCGTGGTGAGGCACCGTTCTCTAGGCCTTTTGCCTAACGGGTTTGAATGAGGGATTCACATGGAGCCAATGAGTCATCACCTCGGCACTTATCCCCGTCATCTCGGCATGGGTCCACAGAAAGACATCGGCATTGTGGGGTAAAAATGAGGCCATATCATTTCTATATGCGTCGCTAAGTGACTCTCCTATCAAAAAGTACTTCTCACCGCTATCTGGGCTCAAGAGAATCTTCACCAAGGCCTCAGTAGACCGGTCGCCCCGCTTTGTAATAGGCTCGTCCACCGCATTTGGCGACCACTGCATCGGGGTCACACTCTTGACTCCGGCCGCTGATTCCCGTTTTCACCGCGGTATAGAAACAGCTTTTCGCCGATGCCTAATCACCCCAGATTTCCATTATGCCCTGCGCTGTTGGGAACCTTATCTTCTGGTGATAAGCTTAGTGGACCGCCTTTATTCCATGTAACCACGATTTCCCCATAAATAGCGTTGTAAGGGGAGTCGGAGTCGACCACCACAAATTCCACTGGCGTGGTCACCACCCCCTGCCCATACCATTAGGGTGATTTTCCCAAGTGGCAGGGCGCTGGAATCATTAAAACCGATGAGGGGGGTTTTACGAATTCCAGATCCCCCAGAGAGAGTCCCATCTTGTGGAAGAGGTGATTGTACATTACCTCGGAAGAACTGCCCGAGTCCACCAAGATCCTCTTGACGTCAAATTTTCTGACCCGCAAAGTGATTACCAATGCATCCTCGTGGGGGAGGACTACCCCGTCGAGATCAGCATCGAAAAATTGGGTAACCTCGGCACCGCTCTGCAGCTTCTTGGCTGGTCGCTCATCACCCCTTTTGTCCACCCTGACTACTTGAGAGACCCTTTGTAACTCGGCGCAGAGGGAGTTGTATGTAGGCCTCTCCACTATACAGGCATGAATAACATCAATCACGGGTGCTACCTCAGCTGGCACCTCGACTCGCTCCCTCGTCGACCCACCGGAACGAACTCTATCGATGAATTTCCCGAGGTGCCCGTCTTGCACCAATTGTTCGAGAAAGGATTTATAACCCTTGCAATCCCCCCGTCAAATGGCCAACATCTCTATGATACGAATAACGTAAGGCCACATTCCTTGTCGACGGATTTCCAAACATCCTCAGGGGCCACTTGGAGTAAGGTTTGTTTTTTATTTTGGGAAGTATCCTGCGAATGGGCTNGAGATCAGAGTGATGGTCGGCCTCCTCTTTGCTTTTGACTAACATGTCATCAATGTACACCTCCATTGTTTCGCCGACCTGGTCTTTGAAAATTTTGTTCATCAAACATTGGTAGGTCGCCCCTAGCATTCTTCAACCCAAAAGGCATCACCGTATAACAGTAGATTTCCCGGCGCGTGATGAACGTCGTTTCCTCCTGATCTGATTCATGCAGAGGAATCTGGTGATATCCAGCCCGAGCATCCATAAAGGTAATGCGTCTGTGGCCAGCTGTGGCATCTNGGCGAGTTGGGGGTGGAATAGGCCCTCCCCTTCGAGCCGATTGCTCCCTTTCCCTTTTTCTCGGCACCGTGACCCTGCTTTCGGGCTAATTCGAGCCATCAAGTCTTTTATGTCTGCCAGAGCCTTCTTAGTCACCGATTTGTACAAAATCAGGTCCCGGGACAGTCCCAGCCTAAATGACACCGCGGCCAATGCCTCCGAACATGCCTCCACCTCGTTCACCTCATCCCAATATCGGACGACATATTGTTAGAGCGTTTCTCCCCCTTTTTGCCTAAACGTCAACAGAGTGCCGATGTCTTTTGGTTTCTTACTACTAATGATGAATCGAGTTATAAAGAGCTCCGTCAATTATTTTCAGGACCTAACGCTCTCAGGAGCAAGGTTCTCATACCACCTCATGCCCGTGTAGGCTCATGGAAAAAACTCAGCACAACACCCTTTGGTCAGTATTGTAGATTGACATTAACTGTCTGTATTGTCGAAGGTGGCTCTCGGGATCAGTTTTCCCATCATAGACTTTAAACCGTGGGACGGTAAACTTCTTCGGCATGTCGGCCTCTCTGATAGCCCGGACGAATGGTGAGACAACTTCGTCGGAGTAGACCTTGGGCTCATGGTTGTGCCAAGCTATGAAGGGGACCTTGGGATCCTACTTTGATCTCTCCCCTCGAGGCCTTCAGGGTATGGACTCCGCTTGTGATTCAGTGGCTCTGACACCCTCGGGTATCCCTTGGCGCAGGTCCCACCTAGACAGGCTTGTCTTCTGGCCCTATTCCAACTTCCCCTTGGAGACTGAGAACCCTCCTTGGCGGTTACGTCCCTTGGGCGAGTGCCTAATCCAATCTTTCCTGGAAGGCCAATGCTAGGGGATCTGGACAAGTTCTGGCTGGGCACCTGGTCCCCGACCTTTGGGGTATGGACTCTGCTTATGATTCAGTGGCTCCGACACCCTTGAGTAGCCCTCGGCGCAGGTCCCATCTGGACAGGCTTGCCTTCTGGCCCGATTTTGACTTCCCCTTGGAGACCGAGAACCCTCCTTGGCGGTTACGTCCCTTGGGCGAGTGCCTAATCCAATCTTTCCTAGAGGGCCAATGCCAGGGGGGATCTGGACAAGTTCTAGCTGGGCACCTGGTCCTCGACCCCGCGACTATGCTCACCTACGCTCGCTGACTGCTAGAAATCGTCAAGACGTTGCCGGACTTTGGCGTTTTCCCTTTCGAGCTGCTTAATGCGTTTGTCCATCCGCTTTTTCACCATCTCAACGATGTCACAAGTCATGAGGTCACACCCCCCAAGGCCCTGATCCATAGGGAGCGTTCTTTGCGAAGAATGCCTCACCCCATCTGATTGGCCCAATGAACTCGGCTTCAGAATCATTGGAAGTCAGACGGGCTCTACATTCCTGGCCCATACACCTACTCCCTCACCCTGAGATCGAGTGTTCACCATCAGATGATTGCTACCGGAAAAAATGCCTTCGTTCCCACAGACGGCGCCAAATTGCACGGGATAATTCCTGTAATAGTATGAGGTAACGATCTCTAAGCTAGCGAACCTGAAACAACAGGGTCAGAAAAAAGGGGTCAGACATGTGCCCGGCTTATCCCCTCCGAAGCTTAAGTCAGTATCAGATCGAATGGTTTTGCTCAATGGACTATTTTTATGGTTCCAGTTTGTGTACATTTGTCCATTTTTCTGAGGATTATTTATACCTGAATTAACAATGATTGTCAAAGATATTCAGTCTCATCTGAACATCTTACATCTGACACACCATTCCTCGTGCAATGAGTGTTTTCTATTCACGTCACCTCCTATTAAATGCTAGGAAAATAGGGTAAATGTTCGACCACGTGCCGAGCAATTATGTCATTCCCCGAGTACACAAATCTCCCAGATCGACATCCGACATCCGACATCAACTAAGCATTGAATACTCGGGGGGGGGGGGGGAACAGTTCCTCGGGAGAGCCGATCGTGTCGTCTCGACGCATCAACCATTAATGCTGAGCCATCATGACAGTAGGCTTAGACTCCCAGAGGACAGGTGCTGGCAGACGGTCATTTATTTTTCTTGTCACTATCACTCATTCCGCCATAAATGAGGGGTCACATCGCATTAAATACGATGACAGTTCTCGTACTCGGCTGCTCTGTGTTACCACACCTCGGCTCACCTTCTCGGCACCCTTTGGACATCCCATCAGTTTTATTATTCCACGTGTCAACCCGTGGGCTGTAGAGCCACCTAAAATCCCGCCAATAACATAAGAATAAGAATGAATGATTGTCTTGTAGATCAATAAATATAGTTCTAATTTGTTAGCATGATATGATAATAGCATTTAATTTAATGATATATTTAACATTTAATTTGTTTGTGTATTATACCAGTTTGTTACTAGTATTATCTAAGAGAAAGACATGCAAAAGAGAGAAAAAAAAAAAAAAAAAAGAAATGGTGCAGGTGCAGGTGCAGCGAGCTTTAAGCTTTAAGCGGAGAGGTCACACTCCAGCTCCAGCACTACTATTTTTAAAATTTTTTTTTTTTAATTTAGGTGGTGGCTGGAATCAATATAAAGACAAATGGTAAAGCCAATGCTCAAGGAAAATAATTAAAAAAAAAATGTAGAGGTAAAAGTGACAGCAGAGCAAGCAAATTCAAATTAAAGGTATGGTAGGTAGGCCACATCACAAATAATTGAGTGGAATAAGAAAAGATAAAGAGAAATCTTGTTTTGTCATCTATACATAGATAGATAAATAGACAGATATACATTTGTTTGTATAAATAAAATTATAATAAAGTATAGTAGTGGTAACACCCACTGATAAAAAAACAAAAGTGCTGTCTGCTTGCAGGATAAAAAGGGCTAGGTTAACTGTTTATATATATGTACATACGTACGCACACCACTTTAGTGAGGGAAGGATAAAGACCTCACCGGCCGGCTAGTACAACCACAGAACCACAAGCAAGCACCACCACAAAAATTGTAGAGGGTCACTCAGAAACCCTTCTTTTATCTCCTCCTCCTCCTCCTCCTCTTCCATTAGGGTGGATTTGGTTCATAAAATTCGAAGCTGTGAAGATAAAATGATTTGAGGCACCATAAGAAGAAAGATATGCGTGAACAACTAAATTAAGACAAGTTCAGAGCGAGAGAGGGGCGGGAATGGTGGGAGCATCATCGAAACTGAAGAGAGCAGCAAGAAAGATCCTCGCACAAACATGCGGGTCCTTCTCATGGAGACAATCCAATGACCTCCACACCCCAACTGTAAGTAATTAACTCTATTCCCTCTACTCTGTTTCTACCAAAATAGAGAGTAAAACAATGCAGTAAAAGAGAACAATTCCGTCTTTCTTATCCTGTTCTTCTACCATTTTTTTTTTCCTTTTCCACAACATTACCACCCAACCTCTTTGTTGGCTCCATTAATTACGTCTCAGAAAACAATTTCGGCTTTGTTTTCTCTCTCTCTCTCTGGTTTCGAATTTAAAATTTTCATTCTTTTGTTGCAGGTATCATTTGGTTCACCCAATTATGCTTCTCCTCCTCCAAAGCCAAGGAAGAGTAGTTGTCATTTTGAAGTTTCAGACATTGCAGCCGAAGCAGATGCCAACACCACTAATAATAATAAGGTAAGTCAGGTCTTTTAATTGCTATGCTAATGATATTTCTCATTTCTATGCCGTTTCCCCTTTCCACAGCACTCTCTCTATTACGGCTTAAAGGTGTAATTTTCTCTTCAAAGAATCTGACAAAACCCTTGTTGAAAGAAAGCACCACGGTGCAGTCTTTCTCTACTTTTGCAGCCGTCAATTTTAAGAATGTAAATGCAATTTTGATGTTTCTGTCGAAATGCGATAGAAATGGTAATGCCCACTGGCAACCAATCCCCTATGTTACAACTTACACCCCAACCCACCCATATTAGTACGCACATATGAACTTTTCCTCCTCCTAATGTTCACTGTGATTTTACACACAAGTTGGAGATTGTACCAATTCTAGCTCTTTATAAAATTGTTTAAAAAGTTCGACTTTAATTTTTTATTTTCGTTTTTCACAAATCTCAAAAATTTCTCATCCCGTGTCTATCTCTACATGTATACTGCATTGCATTCTGCTTAATAGTTTTCATTTTGCTTAATAGAAATGAAAACTTAAAAATCACCAGGGTTTGACAATTACGTTTTTTGCTTTACGACAGGCATTAAACTATAGGAAAACCTAGTTCTGGCTAAGTATATTATTATGTTTTCAGACTGAAAAAGAAATTTAATTTAAATTTTTGTGTTTGTGTGTTTTTTTTTTTTGGGGGGGGGGGGATGTTAAAGTTTTGGGAGAAGATTGGTTATGTCGTGAACATATGACAATCAAATGTTAACAGAGAAGAGTGAGTTCATTAGATTGTCAATTAAGTAGTTTATATGCCTTCCAGAAGATGCCAACCCCAGAGTTTGTGCGCCATGTAAAGCAGAGAAACCATGGCATATTCTTTAACTTATATCATGTTCAACTGGTCAACACCCCCCACTTACTGCACCTATTGCTTGGCAGGATAGTGTTTACATACACCATCTACTTCTGTATATCATATCTGCTGGGCAACAGGTTATAAGGGAACAAATTAGGAGACACTCTCCAAATTGTCTATATCACTATCCTAGCAATTATGCAGCAGTTACTGAATACGTGTTGTCTCTCTCCGTTTTCTCCTCAAATGTGGTGCATGCCAGTGATTTGTAGTTTAGGTTTTGAAGACCTTGTGGCTTTTTCCCTTGTGTTGCAGGACTTATGTGCTGTTTGTCTTGATCCTCTGAGTTACAGCACAGGCAGCAACCCAGGCCAGGCTATATTCACGGCACAGTGTTCTCATTCATTTCACTTTGGTTGTATCTCCTCCAACGTTCGCTATGGTAGTGTCACCTGCCCTATATGCCGTGCACATTGGACTCAGCTACCTCGCGACCTGATTACATGTTCCCTCCACTTCAACCAAAATGATCCGGTTCTCCAGATCGTTGATGACTCGATTGCCAATTTCCGGGTCCACAGACGGTCCTTCCTGCGCTCTGCACGCTATGATGATGATGACCCCATTGACCCTGACCACGCACAAAATTATCCCCGCCTTCATCTCTCTCTTTTACCTGTACCAATCACTCACCCCAACTATAACCTGTGCTTGCATGAAATAACTGAGCCCAATTCATGCCATCCATCACAGCAGCGCATAACTGGCCCCTCTTTATCTGCCACACTGGGGCAGAACACTTTTCTATGTGCTTCCACTGTTAGTGCATATCTGCATATCAAATTAGCACATCTACCAGCAACTGACTTGGTCTTAGTTGCAAGCCCCAATGGGCCTCACCTACGGCTTATGAAGCAATCCATGGCATTGGTGGTTTTTTCACTTCGACCCATTGATCGTTTGGCCATTGTCACCTACTCCTCTGCTGCTGCGCGTGCCTTCCCCCTCAGACGCATGACGTCCAATGGCAAGCGAACAGCACTACAAGTCATTGATCGCATTTTCTATATGGGGCAAGCAGATCCAATAGAAGGGCTCAAGAAAGGGGTAAAGATACTTGGAGATCGTGTGCATAAAAATCCAGAGTCTTGCATTTTGGATCTGTCTGATAGTCCAACAAGATCCTATCACAGGTTTGATATTGAAGTACCCATTATGATCCATCGGTTTCATGTAGGATATGGGTTTCGCACTTCGAATGGATTTGTCATGCAAGAATTTGAGGAGTTCCTTGCGAGAGTATTAGGAGGTGCAATCAGAGAAATTGAGTTGAGGATTGCGGATGATGCTAGGATTGTAAGGCTTGGAGAACTAAGAGGTGGTGAAGAGAGAATGATTCCGTTAAATTTGAGCGAGTCTGGACATGTCTGTGTGGAATATAGATACGTAGAGGGCGGCGTTGATGAATGCATTAGGAGGGGGGAAATTATGGTAGGCATGGGGGACAAGAGAGAGAGACGTGATGGCATAGACGATGTTGTGAGCCTAGGTGGAAGAAGTAGCAGTGTTGAAAGTTGGGATTATCATGATCCTTTCATGGCTAGAAGATGGGCTAAGCATTTGCATGGGTACAGGCTATAAAGTAGTAGGCAAAATCCAACCAATTCCTGGGTTTTCACTTTCTGAGGACTGTCGATCATTTGAACTAGTTGACCCGACCTGAAATGATATGAACATGTACTTTAGCAGCACTTGTAGCATGGCTAGTTTAAGAAGTTAAATTATGAATACGTAACTCATGCTGTGATTCTGAAGGATGGTCATTGGATAAAATATTGTTCGAGTTGCTGCAGGCTCTTAGAAATGAAGTATTATAATAGAATTCTTTGACACCAGGATAGGATCATTGTTGCACTTGCATGTGCATTCCTGGTGTGATTTTTTTTTTATCGAAAGAAGCATAGCATTCCCGGTCGGTGTGAATTAAGTTGTTCCCTTTCTTTTTGTGTTCTCATCTGTTTGTGGATTTGGGGGTTACTGACTTGCAGGGAAAGGTTAAAAAGGATTTCAGCTAGTTGCACATTTTCAAATTCTGTAGTAGTAGGGGGAAAAAAAAAAATAAACTTGCCCCATGTGCGTTCAAGGGGTAAATAAGTCATTGAACTTTTATATGCAGTCAGCACTCACAGTTTAATATAGGGAACCACTACTTCAATACTGTATCAGAAGTTAAGACTTCAAAATGTATTGTTATATGATGCAAAATGGCCTCAAGTTGCAATTATAAAGTCTATTATGACTCAATTAGAGTTGAGTTATAATAACTCAATAAAGTTACGATGATGCACAAAATAGTTTTGTACACCACCTATTAAGTGTGAGTAATAAATGCAGTAATTAAAATTAGAGAGACGGAGGAGACAAGATTTATAGTGGTTCGATCAACGTGACCTACGTCCACTCTTCAATGGCTCTGGTCGCTGGATATTTTATTAACTCGAGTGTGTAGGGAGCAGAGAGTACAAGTTTTTAGGGAAAGGAAAGAGTTGTGCTCAGGTAAAAGTGTGATGTCCCATAAGTGTTGGTAAGACGTGTAATTTATAGTGGTCTCCCAACAGATTGGGGCTACTTTACAGCAACTAAATGACTATTTTGGTGAAGCTCACGACTTCTTCTCAACGGGCGAGGAGGTTGGAGAGCTCTCCATGAGATGTGGTCAAAGATAAGGTGAGGGTGGACTGTTTCCTTCTGCGGTGCAGGTAAGGCTCTCATGCTCTCCCTCTTGATGACGTAGCCAAGCAGAGAGTTTAACTAGTCTTAGACCGTGTTGGATTTGGTGGGTATTTTATAAGATTGGGCTCATCAATTGGGATTGAGCTTTCCTCATAAACTAGGTTATTTGGGCTTGACCTATCATTTGCACCCCAATGCCCCGTGTCCAAAGAAATTTGGAGAATGGTGCATTAGTTTACATCTTGAGTTATAAGTGGTAGAGACTTCCTCTGCTAGATGACTCCTCCCCTCCACAATCCATTTTTGCTTTGGTGCATGTCTCAAGTTTTTTTGACTTTTGCTAGGATTTTCAAGAGGGCCCATAATTTTCAATTTAGGTTTTTCTATCTTAAAAAACCCTAGGCTATAAATATAACATTTTTCTTCATCTTACCCATTTCATTCACTTTGAGATTGAGTACACATTCCTTGAAAACCTAGAGAGACTATTCTTGTGAGCTAAGTTATTTCCATTCCATTGAGAATTGGAAAAAAGGAGGCAAAGCTTGAAACCTTTCGAGAGTATTTTGTTGAGATTCTTGGGTGGAGGTTTTAAGTGGGTAATGTCGTTTGAAGGAGGCGGAGTAAAAAAATCCATTGGTGCCATGGGGGGTGGCGAAATTGGAGTTGAATCCAACTCTCATGAAGCTTTTGGAGTTGCAAGGATTGGAGGAAGAGGAGAGGGGTCCCCACTGGCCACCGCTACCATGGCCGCACACCAACAGCTCGTGAGGGGGGCTGTAGGTGCCATTTCAGGAGCTGTTATAGGCGCCTCTGGTGCGGGTATGGGCAGTTTTGGCAAGGTTTCCAACTCAGGTAGGCGTACAGAGAGTGTGGTGGACAACATAGGCAAGATGGGCAGCAACCTGGGCACCAATTTGAGCTGTCTGGGCGCTGATAATGCTGTCTTGGACAGCTCAAGCGCACTGCACAACAGCTTTTCTTCAGTTGGAGGTGCAGAAAATCGTGTCAGGGAGCAGCGTGAAGAGCTGGGCAACAGCCTAGGCGCCAATCTGGGCCATTTGGCCGCCAAGAATAGTGCGGGGGCAGATCTGGGCGCCATTCCAAGCGCTGATTTGGGCGCCAAGAGGCGCTGTCTTATGCGATTTTGAAGGGCCAGACACCTCTCCAACTGCTAGGCTACCCCGTTTGGCCGAGCAAAGGTGGTCAGGCACTTCTTAGACCACTCCTTACAACCCCGAAAAAAGAAACGCAAAGACAAAGTGGGACTTGACGATGATGGGTCTAAGGTAAGTACCATTTCCAGTTTGTTCACTTTGGATGAAGATATCTTGAGGTTTGTTTATGCTTATCGTATTCCTTCGACCGTGCTATGTTGCCGGGCTGAGACGGGCGAGCTTGCCTGCAACGACTCCTCCTGTGATATTGTTGTTTATGAGAANTACTTCTTAGACCACTCCTTACGACCCCGAAAAAAGAAACGCAAAGGCAAAGTGGGACTTGACGATGATGGGTCTAAGGTAAGTACCATTTCCAGTTTGTTCACTTTGGATGAAGATATCTTGAGATTTGTTTATGCTTATCGTATTCCTTCGACCGTGTTATGTTGTCGGGTTGAGACGGGCGAGCTTGCCTGCAACGACTCCTCCTGTGATATTGTTGTTTATGAGAAAATGCTTCAGGCTAGGCTAAGATTCCTCATGCCCTCTCCCATTTGTCGCATTTTACATTACTTTTCCTTGACTCCAGGGCAATTAGCGTCTAACGGTTGGAAAGTTCTACTGGGATTTCTTGTATTATGGAGGAAGGTGCATCATAAAGATGTTTCTCCTATGGAGTTCCACGCAGCTTACAATTTTGAGTGAAACTCTTGTACCAAATAGGGGTTGGTATTATTTTACCACAAGAAGTGGNGCATTTTACATTACTTTTCCTTGACTCCGGGGCAATTAGCGTCTAACGGTTGGAGAGTTCTACTGGGATTTCTTGTATTATGGAGGAAGGTGCATCATAAAGATGTTTCTCCTATGGAGTTCCACGCAGCTTACAATTTTGAGTGAAACTCTTGTACCAAATAGGGGTTGGTATTATTTTACCACAAGAAGTGGTACAGTGCTCACGGGACTACGCTCCAATTGTCACAGCTGAAAATCTTGCTTCTTCTTTGTCAGCGGAGAGTGGGNGAGTGAAACTCGTGCACCAAATAGGGGTTGGTATTATTTTACCACAAGAAGTGGTACAGTGCTCACGGGACTACGCTCCAATTGTCACAGCTGAAAATCTTGCTTCTTCTTTGTCAGCGGAGAGTGGGTTGCAGAAGCCGATAGAGCTTTGGTGCCAATACGGTGGGGTGCTGCCAAAAAATCCGGTATGCTGCACATTTGCTTGCTTTTTTTTGTCTTATATATGTACGTGTGCTCATCATTCACTTGCAGACATGCCTGTGCTTTCTCAAGACCAGGAGTGGAAGTTGGAGGCCATCAAGACTTGCCCTTACAAAGATTTGGGAGTTCTTCTGCCCAAGGATGCTAGGGTCGTTGCTCTCTCCTCGAAATCTGGTGGCTCCTCTTCAAAGAAAAAGGGTGAATTTATTTCCTCCTTTAATTTTCTCTTCCCCTTGGTATTCTTCACCTTCATGACACTTTATTATTTTCGCACCAAGTAAAAGGGTGGTAGTGTCTCGCTATTCTAGCAAGAGCCCTCCTTCTTCTAAGGTGGCGAGGACGAGTGATGCCCCCCAAGTGACTCCTACGGTGGTGCCTCCTCAATTGTTGACTTCTTCAGTTGCTACTCCAGAGTCTTCCTTACCGGGCACACCTTCTACTCCTCCTTTGTCCCCTCCTCATGTGGGAACTTCTACAAGAGGACTGACTTGGTTTGGTCCCATGCTGGGCAGACCGCCAATCATCACAGAAAGGCTTGGGAGATTTGTGTTTGCACCCGAAGTTTGTCAGCTTAGTACTTCGAGCACTGAGAGGGTTGTCAACACATATCTGGAAGGCCTGGCTCAAGTAAGGGTCTGTTATTTCCCTTTCTTCACTTCCTTTTTATGCCTTTTTGTCACCTCTCCACCTTCTACCTTTTTCAGGTTTTGACTTCATATATCGGCTTGATTTCAATGGCCTATAATTACGACAAGCTGAAGCTAGATCTTGACGTCGTGAAAAATGAGCTTCTCATTGCTCAGGGGGGAATTGTCGAGTTCGAGGCAGTTAGTAATACTTCTCGGGATGAGCTTGTGGCGGCTCGTGAGAGGGCATCCAAGCTTGAGTTTGAGCTTTTGGCGACCCGTGAGCAGGCAACTAAGCTTGAGGCTGAGCTTCTAACGATCCGCGAGAGGAATGCACTCAGGGAGGCTGAGTTTGCAGAGGCTCATGGGAGGGCCATGCTCAGAGAGGCTGTTGCGAAGGCAAAGGTGGAGGCCGCTCGTGAGAGGGCTTCTCTTCCTGAGGTGGACTTGGAGAATGGCTTCGCAGATGCTTTCATTGATGGTTCCGATGAGCTCCGAGGAAAAATCTCTACTGTTTTCCCTAATATTGACTTCTTAGGTTTCGTGCCTACTGATGATAGTGAGGGGGGCTCTAATGATGCTGAGGATGACGAGGAGGAGGTGGAGGATGACCGTGAGAGCAGTTAGAGTGTTTGGGACTTTTGAATATTGGGTAATGACCCAAAAAATAAAATCAAGTCCCAACTTCCACTACTTTGATGCTCTCAAAGTGTCATTGGTAATATTTCTTCAAGTGTTCCGCATTCCATGGATGGAGTAAGACTTCCCCCTCAAAATTCTGAATCTTGTAGGTGTCTGGCCTCATTACCTCTATTATGAGGTAGGGTCCTTCCCAATTTGGTCTCAGCTTCCCTTCGCGTGCATCCTTTGTGGTGAAGATTAATTTTTTAAGGACCAAGTCCCCTAGTTGGAAGGAACGAGGTTTCGCCCTCAAATTGTAGTACCTCGCCATGCGTCGTTTGTACTTTGCGTTGCGGACCACAACCATCTCCCTTGCCTCCTCCATCAAGTCGAGGTTGATGCGGAGTCCTTCCTCATTGGTGATGGGGTTGTGGTGCTGGACCCTTAGAGAGTGTACCCCTATCTCCACAAGGATGACTGCCTCAGTTCCAAAGGCGAGGGAGAAAGAGGTTTCCCCAGTAGGAGTTCTTGGTGTGGTTCAAATAGCCCACAATACGTCTAGTAGCTCGTCCACCCAAAGACCATTTGTTCTTTCAAGCCTTGTTTTTAAGTTGTATAACATCGTTCTCACCATGACCTCTGTTTGTCTATTTGCATGTGGGCGAGCACTAGCTTTTCTAGCCCTGAATATCTAACCTCTGTCCCTGGTATGCCCTGCTCACGTAATAAATTGGCTTCTGCACTCCATTATCACTTCTGACAAGCACGGAGCTTACTGCTGATGAGGAAGCAGAAAGGTATAGATGGAGAGTGTCTCCTAGAG